TTTGTGCTTTACCCACACTCTAACCACTTCAAATCATTACATTGAGGTGCCATTTTCTTGAATCCACAAATTTAAAAAGTAAATTTCTATATCCTTTGTTTCTTCTCATTTTTGCAATTTTTTTTATTCTTCAATTTTTGGTCATTCTTGTTTCGATTTATGGCATTGCACTACATGGGTTTGTCATTCTCATACAATGTCATCTATTTTGGCACGATTTTGCAACAAAAACTGGATTCTTGGACCTTTTTTGGGGCTTCTTTTCTTCGTTTTCTTTGATTTCCATTTCTTCTTTTTCATTTGTTTGGTATTGGAGGATAGATTAGGATTTGTTGGTGAGTTGGGATAGTGTTTGGTGCTTGTTTGGGAGTTGATGGTTGGAGTATTGAGGTTGTGGGGATGTTGTGTGCCTTCTTTCCATTTTGGGTATAGGTGTTTGATTTTGTTTGAGTTTGTAGTGTGTTGTTTGAGTCGTTTTAGTTGACATTGTGTGGAGTTTGGAGTGTTGATGTCATTCTCATTACGGTTGGTGTTGACACCGCGAGGTGACGTCATGTTACCGAGACGTGCCGTCACGGCACACGTCATGTCTCACAGTCAGGGTATCACGTCACGATGCCAGGACTTCTTTGCATCACGTCACCCCCGTCTAGGCATCACATCACCTTTATGTGCATTGGTCCTCTGGTGCATTGTATATGTACTGTATGCCTCAATTTGTGTGCATTTATGTATTTCATGCATCTCATGTGTTCTACCGTGGTTTTGATGGATTGTTTTTACTCGTTTCAGATGTCGCCTAAGAGAGCTCGGACTGCAGCTTCGACACCTGGTACCTCGACTTCTTACAGTAGGTCTAGGTTTGTCTCTGCGATTGCCCAAAATACTTTTGGGTCGCAATTTTCATTACGTCCCGTCTTATTTGAGCGCGAGGTCATTCTATTTGATTTGTCACCTGACCTCGCTGCTATTTTCACTTTCCAGGGATGGGAGCCTTTATTGGTCGAGTTGACACATCCTCCTAGCCTTTTTATTCACGAGTTCTATGCTAACATTCATGACGTTAACAGCTTATCTTTTAGAGTATTTCTTCGGGGTGGGACGGTTAGGATCACTCCTGACGTCATATCGAGTCTTGTTCATATTCCTAGGGTTGTTCACCCATTATTTCCTTATCCGTCTATTGAGACACTTCCCTCGAACTCTCTAGTCCATTCCACGGTGTTTAACACACCGTTGGAGGGTGGTCCAGATACGATGCACATTGGTTCTCTTCCCAATGACCGACAAATTTTGTTGCGCATTGTGTGCACAAATCTGTGGCCAGTGTCGCATACATCTTCTTTACCTACGGAGAGAGTGCGATTTTTATACGCCTTGCTGCTTGGCGATTCTATTGATCTTTCCATTTTTATTTGCCAGCAGATTCTTCGGGCTTTCAGGCTCGCGGGGACGCTGGTGGGGTTGTCATATACCTGTTTGATTTATCGGTTAGTAATAGCCTTATGCGTTAGTTTTCCAGAGGGGGTTCCTTGGAGGGTTTCTCGGCCGATTGACCACACACTTTTGCTCAAAGTCGGTCGCATGTTTCTTTTGAGCCAGCACATCCTACTGACCCAACTGTGCCGACTAATCCTATAGATGACCTTATATCTTTTGATCCTTCGGATTTACCTACTTTTTCCTCTACTCCTCCATACACTGATATTCCATCTTCGTCTACTTCTGCTTCTCCTCCCACTAAGCATGTCCCTCCTCCTGTTGATATCTCTTCTATTCCCGTTGATCCATCTGTTGCACTTATGGGGCAAATGATCGTGCTAATCGAATAGCATGCTTGGATGATGGCAAAGCTTACACAACTGCGAGCTACAGTTGATCGATGCACTGCCTAGTTTACTACGCTTCGGGCTGTTGTTGGATATATTCAGCGTGGGCTCCGATGGATTTGTCGTCATTGGGATGATGGTGTAGCTTCCGAACATTGCTTGACTCCCACATTGACATGAAAAGCTACTCCCCACTTATATTTAGGTATATGTGACTATGTCATTGACATTGGTCTGGCTAAAAAGTTTTGAAACAATTCGACTCGCCGACGTATACCTTACAAGGTTAAATGAGTATCAGTTACTTTCGATTTGCTTCTATGTATCCATCACCTCTGTTTGCAACAAAAAAGCAGATTGCAGACTTGAGACCAACGACGATCCTTTATGTCGAAACCTCGAATCTCGAGTCAATCTCTTAAAAATATGGTTTTCCTTCACTATTGCTATCGCTTAATAACTTTAGATGATCTGACTTGCTTATACTTTTTCCCCTTGTAATATTTTCTTTGGATCAATTTATCTGTATTGTTGTGTATATACGCACATACTTCTCCATATGCCGGCCTAGCTATTTTTTTAGATTTATTGTTTCTTTCATATTTTTTTACTTGAAAATATCTATATTGTATTTTTGTCAAATTAGTGGATCTTTTAGTAGATCTAGCAATGAACCCCGAACAATGTGACAAAAAAGGATACAATGAAACCCCGAAAAAGGTTTCAACATCTTTTGAGGTAATTTATTTGAACATTGGGGTGATGGATATCTTATGTATTTGTTGAAGCTATATGTAATGCAACTATGAATCTCATGGAGAGTTTAAGCCGAGCTCAAGATGAACGCTGATGGCATGCTTAGCACATGCAAGTCAGACGAGACCCAAGACATTATGAGAATCGCCAAGTTCCAAGCCTCCGATCTCCAATTTCTTCATATGCATGTTGTGCCCCAAACCTTGCATTAACTTTCCCGAGCTAGCCCCTAACTGTCCTGCGAGAAAGAGCGTTTTGGAGCGACAAGTAAAGCTTGACTCAGAGTAAAGGGGTCAAAGTGATCAGAATAACCGAGGAGCTGAGTGACACAAGCAATTTTCTAGTTTCAGATGTAAGTTTGCAAAACAGGGAAATAGGTCGTATTGTTTGTGTATAACTGCTGAATATTTTTCCAGTCTGTGTCTAGCTATCCAACAGAGTTTGCATCATATTTCCATTATTGCTGTTCACTCAGTTTCAAGGATAAACCAGATTATGCTTATCTGAAGAGGGGCTAAAATCTTTGACTGGAAGCTAATCTTTTGCTCGCAAGATGGACATGCCCCCTATAACAAACCGGAGGGATTGTGCCTGTGGAGTTCAAACTTGGGGTTGGGTAGGGGCAGACAGACGGGATTGGGGTTGAGATTATGGGCATGGGGGTTGGTGCAATAGGCTAGCGGGAACCACTAGACAGAACATAACATGTTCTGGAGATAAAAATGCAACATGGACAATAAGTTAGGAACATCGTTGCTATCTTCTTTTGAAGCTAAACAGTTATAGGTAAGTTACCAGGTCCTCATCACGACAATATATTTTTGATGTTAGCAATAGCAAAAGCATCAATTTGAACTTATGGACATTGTTTCTCATCATAAAGATCAAATGGCTACCATAACATCACTGAAACAAGTCACGGCATTATTACAAATCGTGACCACAGAAATGTGAATCTCACAACCATTCTATGTAAACAAATTCCATGTTGGGTTGGAATACCATAAACTTGAGCAGCGCAGGATGTAGCAAAAAAAGTTATTAATACACATGTACCATTCGCTACATTATGCTCAATTATCAGCAAAATAGGACTTAGTAAGAGGACTACTCAAAACCTTATTAAATCTATCATATCAAAGTTTGTGAATGCTTGAAATTGAGTTAAGCACCATGAAACACAAGGGCATATTACGTACATAGTAATCAACCGAAATTTATAGTACAAGTAACAACATTTTAACTTCTTTTAATATTGTCCAGTGTTGTGCAGTGCACTTTACCAAACAAACCCCAGCAGTTTATCATTCAAGTTGAATCATGAACGAAAGACCGTCATTTTCTTCACAAGAGTGTAAGATCCATGCTTGGGCAATATAGAATATCATAACAAGTTGGGGGAGCTAAGAGATGCAGTTGGTTGTTCAATTCAAATGTCAAAAAGAACTTGAAAGAGTTGAAATGATTCATATTGCAAGTATGAACCATTAAGATTTAACTGACTTTCAAGTCTCAATGCAGCTTGTAGAAACCAACGTGCTGGAAAAATATTCAATCAGAAAATTTGCTTCACAAATCTCATATGTATAGATTTCCCCAAGTTCAACAATTATAGTAAATAGCATGATATTCTCAAGCATATTTCATTTCCAACAGACAATCTATTAGCCATTCTAATCACAAAAGCATAGAAACTCTGTAGTAGAAGGAATTATAAGGAAATTCAGGCATGTTCTTACACTGAATAGGATAGGATAAGGGGAAAAAGTCTCAGACGTATCTGTCTTCTTTAATCTTGTCTACTTCTATTCAGTCCCGCATACTAAAGATTCCACTAACAAATAACCATAGATGACTTTGTGTGTGCTAATGCCTCTTAAAACTGATAATACAATCCAAAAAATAAAATCATGCACCATATATCATACAACAAAACACCACAAACCACAATTCGCAGGAAAGCCAGAATACTTGACAGACAAGTTGAGCAAATCAAAAACAAATGCATAAACCAAAGTCATCAATAGAATTCATCATGACCTCACTATCAATGTCCCTTTGAATGAACATCATACATAGCCAACGAGGCCTTTAATCGCCCAGTATTCATCCCAGTTTTGAGTGAGAAAACACATCAATATATCCTCTAATTTATATCTGGACTGCAAAGCTAGAAGAATCAATTACTCTTATAAAAGAACCCCACTTTGTGAAAAATACTTCTTCAAAGATTTATCAAACAGATGACTTAATTTATGTAGAGTACAATACACTTAATTTTACACTTAAATTCAAGAACACCATATATATCAAGTCATCAAAAGGGGGATCAATTAAAGCATAAAACCCAATAAAAACAACAAGTTATCATATTATGATAAA